CATCCCCAGCGGGTTGGCAGGGAACACAGAGGCTACCTGCTCTGGCTGCTTCCGTGGGTGTGAGGGCCAGAACGTGGTGGCTTGATGTCCCCCTGCTGGGCATTGGCAAAACTTGTTTGCCTTCGATGCCCATCAGCCAACAAAGTTACTCATTTCTGTGCATGAATAACACCCCAAGAGTGGATTTTTCCAGGCCCAAAGTGGTTCTGTGCAGAGAGGAGACCAGGCCTTCTCGGCCAGAGCATGTGACACACGGCACAGGGTTCTGAGAGCTGTGAGGGGCTCCTGGATGCACACTTCCCAGCTTTGCTTTGGACATGCCTGCCCCCTTCAGAGCTAAAGGACCAACAGTAGGCAGTCCCGCAGAGTAAGTGATAGAAAGATTGTTTAAAACTGGTGAGATACCTGTTGACTGGGGCAAGTCCCATGGAGGAAAGAGGAAGATGGGGAGTACCAGGAGTGTCTCTTTGAGGAGTTGACAGGAGAGGTAAGGCTGAGGATGGAAGGGGATCTGCTATGCAGAGAACCAGGGAGACAGCATCCAGGCAGGAGAGTAGCAATTGCAAAGTCTCAGAGGCAGGAAAGGGCATAAAGGCATCTCAGAGCAGAAAGGAAGCCGGGGGTTCAAGTAGGTGCTTTGTATGGGGTTTGCTCTCTCTCCTCCAAAGTATATTTCAGACTTTGTTCTTGCTTAGCCAAATCCAGTCCCTCTGCCAAAATCCAAAGGAAGAGAATTCTTTTTGTGGCAGGCAAGGCACTGTGGCAAAGGCCTGGTGTGCCTTTTTCTGTAACAGGAATTTGGTTGCATATGGACTGTGCCCACAACAGTTGGCACTGACCTGATGTTTCCCGATGATGAGAAAGAACTGTCAGGTAGCCGCGGCATTCAGGCAGCTGGCAGGGCTGCCAACACCAAGCTGGAATTCCTCCTACCCCTGCCCCCGGGCCCCAGGCCCCAGGCCATCTCACTGCTTCTTGTAGGAAATCATGAATAAGGCAAAGTTTGCCAGTAGGTCTCTGAATTCTCTGTTCAGCACCTCCTGCCCCTTTTCAGAGCTGTTTCACCCACTCTTTCCCCTAAGGTCCTCAGTGTTCTCCTGGGCTTCCTGTTACACACTGAGCCTCCTGAATGTAACCTGGGCCTGCAAGCTCACTGACAGGAAAGAATGGTCCCCCTTTAAGCCCTCGTGATGGGGCCATTATAAACACCTAGACCACACGCTGCTGAGGGTGCACCATGGCCATGCACCCACTATTTGGGAAGTAGCCTGGAACTCTGCTCTTAGTGCCCATACAGCCCACCCCAGGTTGTGAAGCCAAGGTCTCCTGATGCCTGCTTCAGGACTGACCTGAGGTTGACCCATGCCGTGGGCATCTCTAGCCCAAGGTTCCCTTTGTTGAAATGTGATTTTACTCTACATAGGTAAAAGGCCTCTTTTGCCTTTCTATGGCTCACAACTTCAGGAACTAAATCCTCGAAGGGCCACTTATCTGACTCTGCTCCTGTTTCCACTTCCCCTACAGTCAAGCTACACTGGCCTTCCAGTGACCTAGAGTGCTATGCTGCCTCATACCACGAAATCTTCCCACATGCTCTTCCCACAGCTGATCTCACACAAGCATCAGCTCTCCTGGACCTCCCACCTGCTCAGGTGCCTCTGCCATCTGCGTTGCAGACCACCTAGAAAGGTTACCCCTGGAGTGATGTCCACGACTCCATCTAACCGCTAATTCTCATGGCGGCGGGGACTGCTGGGCCCAGTGCCACAGCTGTGTTTACAGGCTCTCTGTCAAACAGGAAGTGCCCTGTGACCATGACGGAGCTGAATGAACCTGAAGTAGTCACTACTGGCCTTCTGTGAGCCCCACCCAGGCCTCACTCCATCTCTTTCTCCTCTTGTCTCTTTTCATCTTTCTTCTTTACTTTCCCTTTCTTCCTCCCTCTTCACCTTTTCCATTTAGTCCTTCTCTCCTGGGCCTTAAGCCTACTTGTAGCTCCCAAGAATACTGTTTTTGGTGTGTGTGTGTGTGTGTGTGTGTGTGTGTGTGTGTGGTGCATGTGTGCATGTGGGTGTTTGATTGTAGTAGTGTCGAACTCAGGGCCTTGTGTATGTCAGGCAAACACTCTACCACTGAGGTACACCCAAACGCAAGATACCATTTAAACCAACAGAAAGGTACTCAGAGCTCCCTAGTTAGGAGCACAGACTCACTGGACCACCTGGTGTGAAGCTTGGGTCTGTCACTCGGTACCTGTGTGACCACAGGTAAATGGCTCACCCACTGAACCTCATGTCCTACATCTGTAACAACCCTGCGGGTTGACAAACTAAAATCCTGGCCCAGTGCTCAGACAAGGGAAGGACTCGAGGAACACCAGTGACCAGGATGGAAGCTCTTCGGTTCTCAAATGCTCACAGATGCAAACAAAGCTCCATGCCAAAGCAAAAGTGCCTCCATGGCCAAAAGGTGGCACTAATGGTCATGGTTACCATATCACTTTGGATTTTGGACCAAATGGACTTGTGAGCGCCTCTGCAGAGCTCACATTTTAACAGGATGATAGCAGATATTTACATCACTCTAAGCCGGCCACTGCACTAAGGCAGTTATTCCTTTGATCTTTTCCATATCAAAGTGTATACTCTATTACCTACTTTACAGATAAGGAAACGGAAGCAGCTCACAGGACTAATAAGTGGCAATCAGAATTTGAAGCCACAGAATCCATGTACTTAGCCACCATATTACGCTACTTTTCTTATATAGTATGATTCAGGAGTTAAAATAATTGCTAGTCCTGCCTCCCCTTTTGGTCCCTGCAGGCCACTGGCCCAGATAACTGCTCTTGTCCTACACCTTGGGCTCCTTCCAGCTGAGTTGGACAACTTGTCAGCCCAGTTCATCTGTGTATCCAGCCCACCTTATAGGTCTCCTCCCTTCTCTGTGGTTGATCGGACTGGATCGAGTCACATATGAAATGGGACACTTTGTGGGTACTTGACAAACAATTGCTGGTTAGTGAATCCTTTCCTAAGGAAAAATACTCATTCACCCACAATTTATGTGCCACAGATAGATTTTACTTTACTGAAAGCAGGGTACATCTGTGGCACAAATGGCTATGGATTATTTTTCCAACAGCCTAAGTAAGTCAAGGGGTACTGCCTCCACCAAGCAATATGTATTTAATGAGTGGAAGTGGGTGTGCCTCACACTCTGCACAATGCCTAGTTCCTGGCTGCTGGTGCAGCAGGGCTGGCAGGTTCATGATCCTTAATGGCCTATTCAGGGTCCACAAAATGCATGTCCACAAAGAGATCAACCGCGCTGTCCCTCCAGGGCAAAGGGACGTCCTTTGCTAGTGTAGGTGAAGGTTATGGTCGTCTGTTCCCCATCTCCCCAAAAAATACTATCTTCATGGTTGGTGCTACTCACCTGTAAGTCAAACCACTTCCCCAGATTCTGCTTTCTTAACCCTTTTTGAACACAGGCAAGGCTTATGTGAACAGATTTGGGAGAAGGTTTACAGGAAGTTCATTGTTTCCTTCCTGGACTCTTTGTATATTAACATTTGCAAACCCATGCATACTAAAAACAGCAAGGATAACCAGAGTCTCCCTGCATCTTCAGCTGGCTACCCTCAGCAGCAAACTGGTGCTCTCACCCTCAGAGATATAGTTTCAAAAGGGGACTTTCCTAAACACAAAGAAAACAGAGGAGAAGGGAACTGTGGCTGTGAATCAGACTCTCCACCAAAATGCACACTTATTCACATGAACAGCCCTGGTAAACAGCCGGCCGACCCCTTGCCGGTCACCACTTCCCAAAGCAAGGCTCCTTTCTTTCACCCCTTTGTTACCACCAGGGTGGCTCATCCTCACGCAGAGCCCTGGGGAGGCAGCCCTGCTCTCCTCTGCCTGGATGTTCTTGTCCTCTCCCTGGGGCTTAGAGAGCTAAACCATGAACATTCACATCCCTGTAGAGAATGAAAGGGAAAGCGCTGGTCACCAGAGCACAGAGGGAGGAGGAAGGAGATGCCTGTAAAGCAGCCAGAGAAAGCACAGGGTGCTGGAATTCTGCGGGGACGCAGGCGAGCTCTTGGGCTGAGACGGGAGGTGTGGTCTCTGAAAACCCGTCCTTGATTAAATGCCTGAGATTCCCACCCCAGCACCGGGAGGGAGGCCCAAATTTCCCAAGTATGTCTGCATAGGAGCCCTGCGCACTTTGGGTACACAGTCGCAGGGAGGGTGTGGCTAGCACGAGCACCCAGTGGTTAGCCATTCCGGCTCCTTTTCTCTTGGTGCTGTGCAAGGGGTGCAAGATGCAGATGAGAGAGTCAAAGATGATCAGACAAAAGGTGAGACATGACCAGGTGGCCCAGGGTAGGGACATGGGAATACCACCCTCTCACAACCTATCGCTCACACCCTCAGAAGATCCTATTATTCAGCCCAACATTTAGGGCAGACGCCTTCTGAGATCTAAGCCGCCCACCAGGTGGACTGGTCTCTCAGGGCATTGAATTTTCAGGCTTCCTGGGAGGGTGAGTGTGACACAGCAAGATTATGTCAGCCAGAGCACCACGGCCACAGCCTGCGGCTTCCACAGACCGCAGGGGCGGCTTCCAGCACTGTAGTGACTGAGAACATCCTAGCTCCCTCCCATCCCAGTCCCCCAGGCGAGCACTAGGGGCAGGAAGATAACCGAGCAGCGTGGCGGCACATGATTATTTCACAGTGTCTAAACCCACAGTGCTATTTTTGCAAGTCTCTGCCATCAGCAAGCCTTTGCCCCACACAGCAGTCGGGGACCCCCAGCCAGAGGTGAGCTACTAGGGAGTCACTGGTGGGTGGCTCCATGTTATCTGCTTAAAACGCTTCTCAGCCTTACTGGCCTGTTTTTACTTTTCTCTTCCACTAGCCTTCTATTTTCACCCAGACACACCCTCGGCTCCTGATATAACGTGTTCTGCTGCAGAGCAGACCCCTGATTCTTACCTGAAAAGCTTGCAGGCTGATGCTGTCCCAGGGAAACTGCATCCACTTGGTGTCCTCTGCTCTGCCACTGCTTTGTCACTGTCACCTTGCTGTGGCCGCTTCCCCAGCAGCCCGAAGCTGGCTCTCTGAACCTCGTTGTTCCTGCAGCTCTGTGTGGGGAGAGGGACGGGCCGTGGCATGCACATCAGGTTGCTGGCCCGCCTCCAGACACCATGCCACAGAGCTGCTACCAGTCCCGGAGGGCTGTGTGGGAACCGGCGGCAGGTGAGGGGAGCTGGGGGTGTCAGCCTCTAGGTCCGTCTGCCCCTTGTTCATCAGCAGAGGGGCTGCCTTCCCCAATGGCCCCCTCCCACCCACAGCTGGACATACAGAACTCTAAGTGCCCCCCAACTCCGGGCCACAGGCAGCAGACCCAGGAACCCAGAGCCTCTGGCCAGCAGAGAGAAAGGCAGATGGGAGACAGTGAGAGCAACTACCCCTGGTGTTATTTTACCACGGTTTGTCTTGGGGCAAATGCCTGAGCCCAGCGGACTACTGGCCTGGCTGAGAAGGATCCTGTTTATTTTGAGGCCTCAGTCACCAGGGAAACAGCAGGTCGTGGTTGGAGACACTCCTCTGGAATCAGAAGGCTGCTGGATGAAAGGGAGCCCTTTTCTGTTCTGTCATCTGGCATCTCTGCGCAGGGTGTAGGTGTCTCTGTGGGGCAGCGTGTCTGTCTGTCTGTCTGCACCATTCCTAGAGCCAAGCCCTACAAAGGGTATTTTACAAAGCTAGTCAGGGGAATGGGTGTCCAGGTTAGGACCGGGAAGGGGCTGCAGAGAGCCTTCTGCACAAGCCTGCCCTGTTGGTCCCGGTGAGTCCTCATGTGACTCAGTTTCAGGGATGGGGATTTCTTCCATGAGGCATGGATGTTGTGTTCACACCACTGCCGAGATGGAAAAAGGACAGAGGGAGGAAGGGAGGGAGAAGGAAGGAATCTAAAAAACTAACTCTGGCTAAAAGGTGGGGAACAAAGGTAGATTGAAAGGATAAGAAGGACAGGGTGTCTTTGAAGAGACCAAATGGAAACATGATTAATACTTTCCTATAACTGGCAAAGAGTCTCTACTCCTCGTGTAGCCATTTGAGCCTTGGAGGCATGAGTGGGTGGTGAGTGTGTGTTCACATTCACGTGCACACACAAGCCTGCCCGCCTGATGATTCAGAGACAGAGGGACAGATGGACCTGGAAGAGCTAGGTTTCTTTCTGGTTTCTTGCTTCTCTGGGCAGTGGCTCAGGTACAGTGAAGGTGGAGGTGGACACTTCTCTGCACGAAGCACCCGGGGGCCATCCATGTACCTGGAGCACCGAGGAGTCTTGGGAGCTCATCCTCTGTATCTGGGAACCAGAGGTGTGGACATCTCATGGCTCTGACCATGGATCTCCCCGCTGCGGGTTGACACCCTTTGACCTCCCACACTGTGCCACGCTGGGTGACTCAGCTCTGCAGGGCCCAGAGTCACTCTTTGCTGATGGCGAACAGTAAGACTTTCCTATTCTCATCATCCCTGCAGACTCAAAGAATCGGCATGAGGTGTGATAATCAAATGCATCCAAGCGCGTGAAAGCACCTTAAACACCAGGGATACAAAGACAGTTGTTATTTCATCTCTCCACTGCATCTGGTTGTGAACCATTCTTTAACACACACATGCACACTCACAGAGGTTTTAGTAAATGTAATCCTTAGCTAATGACTTACACTAATTTCTCTGCTATATATTGTTACAATCCAAATACTGGGAAATATTTAGTTACTTAATTCCCTGCATGTTGAAATTTTTTTAAAATTCCATTTTAACAGCCCTCAATCTCTATATTTATTTCAACTTCCATGTTAAATATCTAGATTTATCTTTTAAATATATATGGATTTATCTTTTAAATATACATCATGTCTTAAGATATGATGATATGATGATTTTTGGCCTCACTATTATTTAGAGTGGAAAGGGACTCCAAGATTACCTGCTAGAAAAGTCTGGGCTCAGAATAGCTCTTAGCTTTATGCCAGGAAATAGTCTGTGGAAATAATAGCTGTTGAAACCACTTATTAAGCATCCACAATAGACTAGATCCTATACAGTGCACGTATCAGAAATCATACCTTCCCCAAAGCTCTTATACCACTTCAAAAGCCATTTCTGCCATGATAAAAGCTTACATGAGAGCCGTTCCACCCCTGCAGAGAGGTGGTCTGAGAAAGAAAGAAAATTATAGATTCTGAGGACCAAGAAAAATCCCAGTCGGTTTATCCACAGATCTGTGGGCATGGCCGGCATCATCCACATCTAAAATGTTAGGGCTGGTGCTAGACGTGCGATTTCCCTTCTGCGTCCTGAGAGGCAGGCTCCATGAGGGCATTTAGGCAGTTGTTATTACAGAAAGTAGCCCCAACCTCTTCTAAGAGAGTTAGAGGGATGATAAAAGTAGAATATGGCTTTTCTGCAGTTTTATTTATTCTGTGCTCAGTGCTTTCAAAAATCAGACATAAAACTCACTTTTTAACTTCAGCAGCATGAACAAAGGAGCAAAGCATTTTGCCAAAGAGTCAGAGGATGCAAAATGCCACCCAGCCATAAATACATTTTCTTCACTCCTGGAGTAACCTAAGCCCTGGCATCTTGTCCTTGAATCTTGAGACGGACATTTGGTATTTGCTTTAAAATTTCCCCTCATTCATCCTGTTTACATGAATGACGCAGTTATGTGAAACGCGTACCAGACACAGTGCATTTCTTCCTAATCTCATTTGACCTTGCTCAGGCACTACAAATCCTAATCAGCTGACAGGAAAATTCAGATGCTGTAGGCCACTCTCTTCTCCCAACTCGGACTTCCTTCTGTTTATGGCCAATCAAGCAGTTAAATCAAGGCCTTCTGGCCTCCCAGTGGGCCAGGTGCCAGGCCGGTGGCAAGTCTGGGAAATGCAGCAGACAGTCCCAGGAAATTGCATTTATTGCTCAGGAGACCCGACGAGGACAGTACATGCGGCAGTACACACTAGCAGAGCTGCCCAACAGAAACCAGGTCCAGCAGCTGCAAGAAAGAAGGTGCCTCGCCCCAACCCAAGAATGTGGGCTTGCCCCAGTTTGCAGCTCTCTAGCTCTGGAGGCCAGAGTGCTTAAAAAGGTTCCTGTTGTTGAGAGGTGGGCTCCTTCCCCTCAGATACTGATCAGCCATTGCCTAGTCTGTTTTCCTTGATTCTAGTTTTTAAATTGTATTTCGAATATTTTAAGTAAGAAGAAGACTTCATGGACATGATTACAATGTACAATGTACAAAAAGATGTAAAACGGTCCTCACTAGCCCTTTTCTCCTGCAAAGATAAGCACTGATAATTTGTATGTGTGTGTGGGTTTGTGTGTGTATGTAGGGGAACTGGGATCTTCTCAGGGAGAAAAAAATGTCTTTATATGGCTAGATGTCTGTATGTTTAAACTATTGCTTTTCACTCAATAACAGATCTTTGCCCATTGGTCTAGTCCACTCAAGCCTAGTTCACTGCAATATACTCCTAACTGGTCCCTCTGCTTCTATCTTTGTAGTTCATCCCAGAAGGATCTTGCTAAAAGGTAAATCAGATTGCGTCTCTATTTGTTCAAAACTGCCCAGTGCCTTTCCCTTGCACTAAGAGCAAGTGCTAAGCATGCCTCCACCACCTGCTTCTCCCCGAGTTCACCTCTATTCACCCTTCCTTGCCCACTGTGCTCCAGTCATACTGCTCTTTGTATGCCAAGCTTGGTGCTACCTCAGGGTCTTTGCACTTGTTGTTCCTTCTGCACAAAATGTACACATTTATTTTCTGCTCCTTGATTCCTTGCATGGCTGGCTCTTTGTTGTCCATCTGATCTGATCTTAGACCATCTCTGCCCAGAGCACCTGTTTTATTTATTTATTTGTTTGTTTGTTTGTTTGTTTATTTATTTATCTTGTACCAGGGATTGAACTCAGGACCTTGCGCTTGCAAGGCAGGCACGGTGCCACTGAGCTAAATCCCCAGCTCTTCAGACCAGCTGTTTTAGATCAGCCTTTCCTCATGGTCCTTCACGTCCCCTGCTCTCTTTCTCTTCACGGAACTTACTGGTACTGGCTGAATATTACCATATTCATAAAATATTAACTTCTTTGCTTTCTGTCTGTCCCACTTCACACACTGAAATGAAATTCCATGAATAGAGAAGGGTTTTTGTGTCTTCATCCTTAGATCCCCTTGTGGATACACATCGAGTCACCGTTAAGTGTTAGTTAAACTACACAGGGCCGAGTTTCTGATTCAGCAGGTCTGGGTGGGCCTACTCGACTAGAATCTGCATTTCTAACAAGCTTCCAGCCTTGCTGCTGGTTCAGAGCCAGCCCAACTGGTGTTGCATATATGTTCATATGTGATTGTGAGGCTGCACATGAGGATCTGCTGCCTTGGCGTTTTCCGTTTATGGGTTAGTCCAGCATTGGACTGTAAGCCTCCTCCAACTCTTTGTGACAGGAAGGTCTTGAGTCTTAGCAGTTCAAATGGTTTATCAGCTCTGTGGGCTTGTCAGCTGGTGATCAGCACACTAAAGCTTCACCGACTCAAGGCAGAGCCTTGAAAGCCTTGAAAGCCTTCCTGCCTCTGCCTCAGCAGATACTCACCCCCGGGACGTGGTGTGGCTCTCGGGTGGTGTGGGACAGCACTGCCCCAGGAGCAGTCACTTCCCCAGTGTGGCCAACACCTGTGCTGCTGGTTCGGGATTTAGCCTCCGTGCCCAGGAATGTACACAAGCCGGCCCCCAGGTGGTTATAAAGCAGATATTTATCACCCCATTCCCCAGGAGAATAAATGTGTGTGAACATGCACTCATGTGCAGGCACACACACTTCTTACATGTCACTTTGGGAAGTTACAAGATGCCTTAACCCCTGGTTAATAATTAGCTTGCTGTTTGGCAAAACAAACAAAACCAATCTTGATCCCAGCATATTATTTAAATTCCTGATGAATCAGAAGTTTAAATGTAAAAAGGCAAACCTTAGAGGAAAGCATTATAGTAAAACATTACTTAATGAGATTTATCATCTTAGAATGTGGATTACTTTTTAAAGCAGGATTCGAAACACAGAAGTGAAAACAGAATAGTAAGAGTGATTCCATAAAATGTTAACTGTTCTATGCAAAAAAGAGGGGGAGAAATCCTCCTGGTTTAAACTCAGGGGAGAAATCTACGGATCCTATCTTTTCCATCTACAGCCTTTCCACTGGAATTATGTGAGAGGCCAACAGCTAGGCTCTCTGGAGCAAGACATGCATTTATCAGAGCAGACAGGGACCACATTCTTCAGCAAAGCCTTCCTACTGGGTTAATGATTCCACTAGTAGTGGCTTGGGTTTTTAAACAATTTTATCAAGGCATCATTTATAACTGGTGCCACCACTGTGGAAATCAGTATGGAGATACCTCAAAAAACTAGATTTAATTTTTTTTTTTTTTTTTGGTACTGAGGATCGAACTCGGGTCCTTGAGCTTGCACAGCAGGCAGCGAAACCACTCAGCTAAATCCCCGGCCAAAAAACTAGATTTAGAGGTCCCATTTGACCCAGTTATCCTTCTGCTGTGGATCTTCCCAAAAGAATTAGAAGAATCATACCACAGCAATATATGCATACCCATGTTTATAGCGGCAGAGTTTGTAATAGCTAAAGCTTGGAAACAGCCCAAGTGCCCATCAACTGGAGACTGGATAAAGAAGATGTGGGTTTTTAAAAAAAATAAAATGGAGTACTACTCAGCCATAAAAAATGAGAAGCTAGAGACATTTATAGCTAAATGGATGCACATTGAGGCCATACTCTTAAGTGAAATAAATAGGACACACGTGTAAATACTGAATAGTTTCTGTGGGGTGAAAAACTAAAAGTGTAAATAAGGTTCAAATGCTATAATTGATAATGTGAAATACGAAGTAAAGGTCTAAAGGAGTAGGGGAGTGGGAGGGGTAGGGGAAAGGAAAGAAGGGAAAAGAAAAAATATGAGAAAAGGAAAAAATGGAAACAAAGTCTGTACATAGGGAAAGGTGGAGAGGTGAAGGGAGGGCAAGGAAATGGCGAAAAATTAAGAACCAAGATACACCATGTAAAGGTACAAGATCCCAACGAGGAATGTAACTGTATTTTATACCTAAAATATACCAATAAACTTAATGAAAATACTTTTTAAAAGATATAATTTATATACCATACTGTTCACACATTTACAATGTACAGGTTAGCAGTTTTGGTATATTTACAAAGCTGTGTAACCATCACCACTATCACTGTGGGATATTTAGAAAGAAACCCCTTACTCATTAGCAGTCACATCCCATTCCTAGCTCCAGCCAGATTCGGGCAACCACTGTCTACTTCCTGTCTCCATAGAGTTTCCTGTTCTGACCATCTCATGCAATAGAACCACGTAGTGTGGGTTTTATTTTCTTTGTATATGATCTTCAAGGTTCATCTGTGTTGTAGTATGTATTAAAATTTCTGGCCTCTTTATTTCTGAACACTGTTTCATTGTATGGTGCACCACATTTTATTGATCCACTCCTCAGCTGATGGATACCTGAATTGTTCCCTCTGTTTAGCTATTATAAATAATCCTGCTATGAATGCTCATGTGCAAGTTTTTGCATGGATATATGCTTTCATTTCTCTTGGGTCTAGGGATAGTTTTTCTCTTAAGGCTTTTCCCAAAGAATTCTACTAAAACACACACACACACACACACACACACACACACACCCTATCATAACCTCATGGAGATGTGAGCAGGCTTGGACCCTGAAGACCTCAGTGTATGTCCGTCTCCCTTCTGGGACCTTATTGTAATCTCAGGATATGACTCAGTCTAACTGTGCCTCAGTTGTGCCATCAAGAGAAGGAAGATGAGAAAACTAGCTCTTTGACCCTCTCATAGGCTATTGTGAAGATAAATGAAATGACAGAAGTCAAATGAGAACTGCTCTTTTGAAGATTTAAACCATATGGATAGATTCATGTGCATCAAATAAGCAAGATGCACCCAGATCAAGAGTTTCATGAGCATGCAGATAACTGTACCAGCCAAGAAGCCTGTGGCCTGTGACTTGTGGGCACAGATGGTATAAAAAACTCACCATTTTCTAAAGATTTTAGTTTCCTCTGGGATGAGAATTTGGTTGCCTACCAAACCCTGTCAGCTTCTGTCTGAGCGAGAACCCTGGCGTGGTCACCACGGCCACCGTGGTGGTGTCTAATAACTAGTAGCCAGAGGAGCAGGTTTAAATTCTAAAGCCCATACATTCCCCCAAATATCACCCTGTACCCATTTAATTAAAAAGCGCCTTGTTCACTGCAGAGCTCCTTTTGTGAAATCCCTGACCCCTTGATGTTCTTGATGGCTCTGGGCAGGGGTGTAATTCTCACTCACACAAGGACTGTCCCCCAGAGAGGTGCTGGGATCCCTCCCAGCAGAAGAGGCTTTTTAAAATCAGGCAGTAGGAAACTGTACTGATAAGCATATGCATTATGAGTGGAAGAACAAACATGATGGTAGGCATGCCTGGGTTCTAATCCCAACGTTACCACTTACTGTTTGCATGATCTAGGACCTGTGAATTAATTATTTTAGACTCAGTTTCCCCACCTGTTAAATGGAGTAATCATAATACTTTCCTGGTAGGTTCTGTGTGAAAATTATCTGAGATGATACCTGTAAGAGTTCCTACATATATTCTGAGCTCAATCAATGTTTGCTATAGTTATTATACTACCTTTTTGTGGTACTGGGGGACTGAACCTAGAGAGCTGAGCTACATCTCTAGCCTTTTTTATTTTACTTTGAGACCATCAAAGTTGCCCATATTGGCTTTGGATTTGCCATCCTTCTGTCTCAGACTCCCAAGGAGCTGGGGTTACAGGCATGCGGCACCAAACCCAGCTTATTTATTATGTTGCTTTTAAAGAAGGAATTAAGGACCTCAAGCATTCCTGCTATTGGTCTTGTTTAGGAAGGCTTATTTTCTGTTGGTCACTTAATTGGACTCTCTTAATTGGGCATCTCCCATTAAATACCACAAAGAGGGCTGGCCACAAAACTTAATTCCCACCACCCCATCTATAAAATTCAAGGTGAGAAAGAAATTAGGAATCATGAAGTTCTTAAAGAATATTTAAACAAGGAAAAACAATCCTGATATTCACTGCCATTCGGGTTTGGGGAGGGGAGAGGGAATAAAAGTCTGGAAGAGCTAGACAGTGTCCCCGTGGGAGGGAGGTAGCACTAAGGCTGTCTTCTGTGTAAGGGTCGGGAGAGAGGAAGCGGTGAAGGGAAAGGAAGACCCAGGTGAGCACAGGCAGTTGGAGGGTCCAGGCAGGTCTGGCCTGGTAGAGATGGAGCCAGAGCCAAGCCTTTTTGTGTCAGTGGCTTTCCCACTCTCAGGGGTCTCTAGGAACAACATGCCACGGGGCCTTTTAGTCCTCTGTTCCACTAACAATTATCCTTCCTGAGAAACTTCCTGCCACTTGTGCCTCTGTGGAGTGTGAGAGGTAGGGAAGAGCAGGTTATGTTGGAGAGAAGCCTTGACTTTTAGTCCACACCACGGCAAGTGAGAGCAGCACAGTGGCAGCCCTGAGCTTGGCTGTCCTGGCTGACCTTGGCCCCCCTTCTCCTGGACCATCGAGTTGTTCACCTCTGGGGGGAGCCACCCTCTGCTGCTCTCAGTCTGTGTGGGTTTCGATGGGGACCTCTACACCCCCAAGGCAGGAGTGGGCACAGTCCCCGCCTTGCTTCCATGACAAGTGACCCCTACACTAGCTAGAGCCCCTAGGAACAAGAGGCATCTGCTCTCACAAGGTGGCTGTGGCAGCCTGAGCCGCTGGCAGCCCTGTCCCACCACACCAGCGAGTCTTCCCGGAAACAGAAGGACACAGGGAATGCAAAGCCAAGAGACAGAGAGGGACAGCCTCACACGCCACCACCTTATACCTGCACCGGCCATACCAAAACTGGCTTTTCAGTCACATAGTCCAAAAAGAAAAAAAAATCTTCTTTTTGCTCAAGACTCTTCAAACTGGGTTTCTGTCTGTGGTCACTAAAAGAATCTGGACTTATTCAAGTAATTACCTGGTCCCAGCAGAATTTGATTGACTTTTTTTTAGCATGGATATTTGCAGTCCACAGTTTAAGGGTACTCAGTAGCCAGGACAGTAGGATGCACGTGTGAGGGATGGTGACCCCCATACTTAGCCCCGAGTAGACACACGTCCCTGTGACGTGCTTGAGTGCGCAGGCACATTGGAAGGGGAGGCCAAGAGGGAAAATGTGTTTCTCCTCTTCCCTCACTCTGCTTACAGAGCAGTTCTCCCCAAACCTTTGATTTTATTCCTCTTGTTTTCAACCAAAATAGAGTTCTTGAATCTGTTAAGCATATTTGGTAGGACTCTTAAGAAGTCAGGAAGAGAAGGGGAAGGGAAGCTCTGCAGATCCCATTTTTTGTTTTATCCCTTTTGCCTAATAACAAAGAATCAGCTGGCATCCTCTTATTTCCTACTTCATGCAGCACTTTTTAAAATGAAGCACTAACTCTACTGTAATGGGATTTGTCTAACGATTTCCTGGTAAATGTCTTCTCAGCAAAGATAATTCACTTGGTAGGAATCACTTCCTGCTTTCCTGCTCAGAGCTAGACCTACCTATTTCTTTCTGGGAGTAAATTGGCCTCTGAATGAAGGCATACAGGAAATGTTTTACCATAGCCCCCATCACTCAGCCTCAAGCCACCCAGATCTGGGAAGGGAAAGGAAGGCACAGGGGCTGAGGGAGAGCATTCATGCTGAGCTCAGGTGCGAAGCCAAGCACTAATCTGAGTCTGTAGCCTTCTGAGTCCCTCCCAAACCGATGCACTCACCTCTATGCCTCGGCTCTGGGGCGCCTTCCTTCAGAGCAGTGAAGCTGCTTCAGCATTCACAGTACTATCCAGAGGCTGCAGGCCGGCTGTGGCAGGAGGAAGGGAGTTCCCATTCACCATCAGAAGGGAGTGTCCTTCAAGAAAAAGAGGCGATGCCCTTATCCCTCCTGAGGCTGTTGGATTCACTTGTCCTCCCTTCCTAGTGTGAATGGAACCCAAGGGCGCCCCAAGGGAGCAGAGTGAAACACACCACACCCACCTAGTAGCAGGTGGTCCCCTGGCTCTGAGATCCTGGGGAGGGAGGTAGCCACCTTCTTGGGGCCCTGCAAGGGGAGCTGGTGCTAGTGTGCCCACAGAAAGCGCAAGGACAAATCCTTATTCCTCCTCTTCTCATGTGATCTTATTTTTGGACTGGACGCACAAGCTATTTGGGGGCTGGACACCAGCCAGGTGAAAGGACAAGCATGTCTTCCAAGCTGTCTCTTTGCCCCACTCTGAGCCAGTCCCTGTTTCCTTTCCTCATGGAGGCAGAGAGGTGGGGGTCTTGCTCCAAGCAATTTGTTCGACTTGCCAACTTTTTTCTGAGTAGTTGATTGCTACCCTTTCAGTTTCAGAGAAGATAGATGTATTGGGAAAAGTCATACTTCTATATTGGACGTGGCCGGGTGTTCCTGAGGCTGGAGGCCTTATCACACAGCCATTCGCACTCTTAGATTTAGAGACCCTCTTATCAACACGGGGACCCCGCCCCCAAGGCAGGTGTGAGCAGTGTCCAGGAGCGGGACTCGGCCGTTTCTGCTTCTACCTCCCGGGCTTGTAAAACTTACAACACTGAAATACGTAACTTGATTTCTCACCTCTGATTTTCCCTCTCTGGACCCCAGTGGAGTGTTGAAGTAGTCATGTCAGACTGAATGCCAGTTCAATACCGTCATCGTCTTTGCTATCTGTCATCACTAATATTACTGAGTGCTTACTGAATGCGTTCATGTGCTCGGCACCTTTCCTGACCCCATTTCCTCACAGCAGCCTACCAGGAAGGTGACGCTGCGCTTGTCTGACAGCCAGGGAAACAGGTTTGGGAGGGTCTTCAATCTGACTTTTGGAACAGTAAAGTGAGACCACAGAGTTGGGGCTCTCGGCCCCTTTGCTCTGCTGCCTGCTGAACCTATACATGGGTGAGATTTCACTGCTGTTTTTCATTTCAAAAGAGAAAAAACAAAAACTCTATGGTTAATTCAGACCCATAATTTCAATCTTCAATTTCTATTCCAAATTCAGTTCTTAAAGGGGAGAATGAGGGTTTTTTTTTTTAACTGTTTACAGGCCCAGGCTGTGATTCTAGCTAGTACAAGATGGAAAGACGCTGGCCGCCATTCTCGTCGGAGCCATTTTCCTATGAATAATTCACGGTTCAGATACACATTTTAGAGAGCACTGGGTTCCCATTGCGTCTAAGCTGAATTGTCCTCTCTGCTGCCTGCGGAGCAGGAGCCTGAGCGGGAGCCCAACAGCTTGTGCAACACTGCCCTCTGCCGGCTTTAGACTGTATTACCGCAGGACAGTAGTCTTGCAAGGGTTTTCAGATCGCTTTTCGGGTTTTCCCTTTCTGTAGTCTTTTCTAAAATTGGTTTGCCTGACAGCATATTTGTGTTCACAATAATTCTTTTCCCTAGTTTATAAAAGGAAAGCGTACGTGTCATTATGCAAATCTTAATAGATGACTTTGCCGAAAGTGTAAAAATCTTGTTCCTAAACTGGAAGGTTCCTTTGATGATTTAATTCAATATCCCTTATCGATCTATTGGGCAGTTTCTTCAGTTGACAAGTTTCTCTTCCATACCTTGAATGTTGAGAGACTTGACTGTGAAAGCAAATCAAAGACAGAATATTAAAAATAATGATACGTACATGTAGAGAATGTCATTGTTTATTTTTTAATTTAATTTAATTTAATTTATTTTTTATTTTTTGTACCGGGGATCAAACTTGGGTCCTTGCGCTTGCGAGGCAGGCAGCAGAACCACTGAGCTAAATCCCCGTCCCATTGTTTATTTTTAAAATTTAATACTAACAATACAGTAAGTCCCTGATTTACAAGCATTCGAGTTGTGAACTTTCACTGACATGAATGGCCCTCACGCATTCTCCTGGAATGGAAACTCATTTGTAGGTCAGGGCCTTCATGTAGCTTATTTATAGTTGCACTGTACTGTACCACCATTTTTTATTTATTTATTTATTTATTTATTTATTTATTTATTGGTACAGGGGATCAAACTCGTGTCCTTGCGCTTGGGCAGCAGGCGGCAAAACCACTGAGCTAAATCTCCAGCCCGACTGTACCACCATTTTAAAGTAACTGTAAAAGCAAAAAAGTTTATTTATAGTATTTTTGTGTATGTGTTTGGTTTCTATGTTTTACATTGTATAAGACTCACTTTGACTTACGAACAAATGCAACTTACGAACATTCTTCCAGAACAGAACTTGTTCATATGTCAGATACTTAATTTATGTTGGAAGTTATAATTGTCAAACAATAAGAACTTAATGATGAACATTTATATATCAGTTTTATGTATTTATTTATTAACTTACTTATCTAGATGGAGGTCTCCCTATGTTACCTACACTTGTCTCAAACTCCTGGGCTCAAGCAATCTTCCTGTCTCAGCCTTCCAAGTACCTGGGACTATAGGCACACATCATCTTTCCAGGCTAACATATCAGTTTTAAAGGAGATGTCTTATGGTTTCGATCTAGAATCTTCAAGAGTCTTATTTGTTCAGAGGTGGTTCTTTTGGAAGGTGACTGGATCATGGGGGTTCTAAACTCATCAGTGAACCATTGCTGAGTTAAGAGCCTGGTTACAAGATGTATGTTATTGGCTGGGGATGTAGCTCAGTGACACAGTGCCTACACGGCAAGCATGAGGTCCTGAGTTCAATCCCCGGTACCAAAAAAAAAAAAAAAAAAAATGATGTCTGTCATTGAGGACATGTTTTTGGAAGGTGTTGTGGCTTTTATCTAGACATTTTGACTAAAGCCTCATGCTGGGCTTTTGGGAAGTGACTGGATCATGGGTGTGTGATCCTGGATTAGTCCTCTGATGGTTTATAGCTGGGTGTAATATTGGGAGGTGAAACAGTGGGTCACTGTGAGTGTGGCCTGGAAGAGTGTATAAATATATCCCTCCTCCTCCCTTGATGGCACTGCTTCCTGGATACTGTGTCCTGAGTTCTTTCCCCTCTGCCAGGCCACCCTGCCTTGGAGCCAGAGGACAGTGGGCTGAAACTGATACAGGATATGATACTGGAGATGAAATATGAAAGTATTATATCTACCAACCTGTTAGATGCCTGACACACCAAGCTTGTGTTCTCTAAAAATCAAAGAATGAATTCTAGGAAAAATGGAGATTAAGGGTAGGAAGATATTGATAAGATAGCTCCTGAGAGGCAGGAGGGGTCCCAAATGGGTAGCTGGGGACCTTACTTTACAGAGGACTTTTATAGAGCAAGACCCACGTGGGTACAATGTGGGTTACAGCTGTGATCCACCAATAAGATTGGAAGTATAGTTGCTTAGGTAATAGTGATCCAGTTGGAAAACAAGTTATGTAACAAGTGTGCCTGGAAAGAACAAAGACTTCTTGGAAATGATGAGTCCAGAGGTCCTGGTTACCCGCTGAGGTGACTGATGTCTATGTAGACTTCATTAGGCTCAGTGTTTGTCCTTTGAGGAAGTATACAGGCCTGGTCATCTTGTCTTTGTTTTGAGGCCTGGTCTCTAGCATATGTATCTCCAGCTACAGCTGTGATATGTTTCACCATTGTCTTGACTCTCTCCAGGGTCTAGCCCTATCTGACTGCCTGTAATATTTCTATCTGATTTAGCTGTCTATAATAAAACCTCTGCATACCATGAGCCAAAATAATCCTTTCCTCCTTTAAATTGTGGATGTTGGGTATTGTGCTTCAGCAATGAGAAAGTAACTAAAACATATTTTGCAACCAAAGAAGTGGGGTTGTTGCTATGATGCTACTTGGCCATGTGGTTCAGATGCCTTTGGAACTGGTTTGCAGAAGGAGTTTAGAAAGCATTGGAGATGCTAGCTGGAGAAGCATCCCTAGGATGCTGTAGGCCAAAATTGGTGGGAGATTCTGGTTGGAGCACAGAAGACCTGAATGCTGATAGAAATGCAGCCAGTAAAGGACCAGGCTTGAGAAGTTTCAGTTCAGAAGGACTGTATGGACAGCTGGGCTCTAGGCCATGTGTGTTATGCTTTAGCAAAAAACTTGTCACATTTTGCTCATGCCCAGAGACATTGCAGGAAACTGAGATTAAGGGCAGGGCACTAATTAATCTGGCAGAAGAAATTTCAAGGCAGTCTAATGCTGAGGCAGTGGCGTGGCTACTATTGGGGACTTTTCACAGTTGTACCTTGAGAAGATCAAATGGCCTAGGAGAATGATTTTAAAAGTTTTGAGTCTGGGCAGAAAGGAAGCCCCAGTAAAGTTGTGGACTGGAGAGATGGAGCTGAGAGCTTGGTTGCTGAAAACATTAGTATAAAAAAGCCAAGTACTTTGGAATAAGACAATAGAAAAGATGGCTTGAGGGCATCACAAGAATCAGCAGGACTCCACCCTTTGCAGCCTCAAAATTGCAAAGATTTTGCTTTGAGAAAAGATCCCCAGGGCACCATGGTGCAAAGTGGCAGTGGCCTACTCAGCATTCTAGCTACTCAAACCTTGTAACCAAGAGAGAAGGAAGCCTGGCTACTGCTCCAGCTGCCAGCAGACCTTAATGTCATCCTCGTGGTACTGGTTTTAGGTGCAAGAAGAATGCAAGAGCTGTGGGGTCAGGAAGGCTTTTGCCCAGATTTCAGAAGGCCTGGGAGGCCAGGCAGTGTGCCCCTGAGAGGGCAGTGTACAAAACTGTGAGTGTGAAGCCAAAAGTGCAGTGGAGACCCCAGAAGGTTGGTGAAGTCAGGAACATGGATCATCTGAGGAAAGCTGCAAGGAGTGAGCAAAGCCAGCCCAAGAGAGAGCCATAGGAGCTACAATCACTGGCAGTGCTGTAGGGGTGGACCACCTAAGCCCTTTGGAGTTCACATCTCGCCACAGACCACCTCAGATGCTAGACACGGAACTGTGGCATTTAATGTTTGCCCTGCTGGATTTTGGTTTTACTTTGGTCTAATTTCTTCTTATCTCCTTATTTCTACCTTTTGGAATGGGACTATACATCTCATGCCATTGTATGTTGAAAATGTTTAACTTTATTTTCATTTTTATAAGACTCCCAGCTAAGAATTTGCCTTAAACCCCAGAGGAGAATTTGGACTTGGACGTTATAGCAATGTTGAAACTTA